GAATGTTTCTGTATCGGAGAAATCGTGTCCTGCTCATACACACACCTACAAGCCATACCACAGTTGGTCTACACTAACGCAAGCATACAATGGTCGCTGACCATCGATGTATGTTGATGTTTTTTTTTTTTTTTTTGTTCATTGCTTGTACGACCATACTAACTATTTAAGTATCAGCCAGTTTTGATTGTTCTTTGCTGTTAATTCACTACTTTAATGAAACAAGGTTATGGTCTAAAGTGTTATAATAAACACACTGCCGGACCTAATTAGTTTAAGTTAAAGAAGTCAATGGGTGCGCGGTCACAAAGAAATCTAGCAAAAGACATCACGACTGGGCGTAAGTTTGTTGAGAGCCTCTATTCGCCTGTTGAGGGAAGAAGTCCAACGCCAAATTTGAGCACTGCTTGATGCCATTATGCCGATTAAGGTCTGAAAAGTTGTTTGTTTCCAGTTGGGTGTTGTTGATTCCCAATTTCTAGACGAGGAGTACAAAGGTTACGTCGCCCAGCTACTGAGTTAAGTGCTTGTTGGGACACTGTGAGCTGTACATTTCACAACAGTGAGCTGCAATTATGGTGTGGACAGTTAGTGGTGGCACATCTGACGGCATCCCAAGTTTACTTTGTGCGAGCCAGCTTCAAGATTTTGTTGGCACTGACAAGTGTTTCACTAGTTTTCAAATAGGACAGTAAAGGTCATTTTGTATAATTCACACAGACATGGGAAAGGAGGAGATATGGAGTGACCCATCTACAGTGATTTTAGAACATTGACGAAATAACGAACTGACATAAGGTGGAGAGAGAGGAGGAGAGGAGAGAGAAAGAGAGAGAGAGAGAGAGAAAGAGAGAGAGAGAAAGAAAGAGAGAGAGAGAGCTATTCTGTCGGTTTTAAAATGTGCTAGTTACCTTCTCTATTTTTTAACAGATCTGCTGGTCATGTCTAAAACGAGAGGGATATGGGGGTGGGAAGTGGGGGAGGGGGGGGGGGACTTCAGTCTGCCTAAACTCATTTGTTACAGCGCATATGAGCATGATAAAATTGGGTTCAATAGAAATATTTAATAGAATGTAACTCAACTATGCGGATTTTTATTTATATAAATTGTTGTTTAATTCCGCAGACAAATAATATTTCACGAATACCTGCAGGAAGCCTGCCACCAAATCTAAGAGACATCTATCTGAATGAGAATCCAATAACAGCGATAGACGATAATGCATTTGACGATTCTATCTTCACCTTGACAACGGTTTATTTGTCCAGCTTCCGTTTCACTCGACTCCCAGACGCTATTGGACATTTGCGATCTCTGAACTTCTTGTCCATCGCTGCGGCAAACATTACAGATTGGAACGAGGCAGTCTGGGTTAACATTGGTCAAACTCTCAAGTCGCTGGAGCTAGATACCGTTGGATTCACCGAATGGCCCAGCTGGATTCGGCATTGCACGCAATTAACTAATCTAATCATTGTAAGGAATTCGTTTTCTTCCATTCCCGATGGCGCACTAGATTCTGTTGCCCATAATCTGATTGGTTTGGAGCTTAACAATAACCAATTGACTATGGTACCTAAGGCGCTTTCAAACTTGAATTCTCTACAGACACTGAACCTGCAGAACAATCGTATTACAGACATCAGGTGGCTTCCTCAGAATAGCAAGTTGAGTACCTTGTCCCTCAGTTTTAATTACATCTGGAATGCCACTCAGTTAAGCGAGGTTCTGAGTCCTTACAATACATCGCTTGAGGGTTTTGACATAGACAACAATCACCTCACTAGTATCCCAGATATTTCGTATTTAGTTAATGTTAGAGCTCTGGATTTTGCACACAACAAAATTTCTGATCCCATTTCTGGCGCCGTTGCATCCGATACCTTTATGCTAGATCTGTACTATAACTCGTTACCATATGTCCCAAAAATGTTGTCAAAGCTATTGCTACTAACGACCATGTCGTTGTCCAACAATGCTATACGAGCTATCAGAGAAACAGATTTCCATTTAAATACAACGTCGATTGTAATTGACTTTAATTTAATAACAGAATTAACAGATACAAGTTTCCCAGAAAATTTTGGACTTCAGGGATTGTACTTAAATAATAATCCACTGATCAGCATTTCTTCACTAGCTTTACAACACCTACCTAGTCTTCAATTTTTAGATTTGAGATTTACCAAACTTGCACGTTTACCTTTAGGCCTGAGATACCTTAAAAGTCTGGTCAGTCTGGACGTCTCCAACAGTACGCTCCTGGTCTGTACGTGTATGGAGAGTAGTTTACGAACCTGGGTAATGAACTTGAACCCAGTATACATTTATGGGAGCTGTGGTCAGACCAGTGTCAATGTCTTCTTCTCTGTTTTAAGTCCGTTGTGTCCCGCTTCAGCAGAAACCCTTTTGTAATTGTCAATTATCCTGCTCTCTTTGATTGATAAATAAACTCGTTGATTAGTTCGACAGTACTTTGTAACATTCAGTTTCATCGCACTTTGGCTCACAATGTCGAGCCCTGTGTCATTAGATCACTTGTAGAAGGTTGTGTGTGTGTGAGAGATATGATCATTCGAAATATGTAACCTCAGAAGGGGTATTTTTTTAAGACAAGAAGCACTCATGTTATCACTATTTCTTTTTACCTAAGTGGTCTTTTTTCAGTCTCGAAATTAGACCAGTTAACTGCTCATTTTTTAAAATTTTTGTTTATAACCTTTTATCTTAAAATGGGTCCTGTTATCTTTCGCACTAGCCATACATCTTCAAGCATTCTAACGATTCTGTAAAGGTACTCTTATAACATTACATTCCTTCTTGATTATCTCTGTTCCATATGTTTCATGATAGGTCATGTATTGTCATCGCTGACAGGCTGTATACCTCCTCCTCCTCATCTGTACTTTAGACCTACTAAATACAACACAGAATATATGTTTTTTTTTTAATTTCTTTGTGTAGAGGGTTACGATCATATGTTGGGTTGTCTCCCAAGTCCTGAGCATCCAGCAGGGCAAACGGACTGTGGCGAGACAGCATTATACTGACTGCGGGGCTACCCAGCTGTGGTAGACGGTAGCTGTCCACGGAGATGACTATGATGTCTCCTACTGTCAGAAGCAAGCCCTAGCTGCCTGCTCTGTATCCATCGAGCACCGGCCCATAACCGGTAACTTCTGCTTCTCGTGCTATGTGCACTCAGTATTTGATTGTGTTCCCCTAATCGCACCAACACTGTAGGAGTCCTTCTCATAGCTCTTGTTGCCATGCTATGCTAAGCCATTTTATGTGGCGCACATAACCTAATCACAATTATAGCCTAAAGCTCCCCTTTCAGGGATGCTGTTAGGACGTGACGATTTTTCTCTTCAGCAAAGCACCCACTTATCACGTAATGTGGGAAGGCTGTTAAGCAACGCAGGAGTAATCTCTCCATGGCATAGATTTGGGCATGTTGGAGTAGGTGCTGTTGCCCAGGTAGCAAATACCCCTTTTCCACGTCGTCTTTAATAGCTAGGGAATAAAAAGTGCCAATATAGCTTGACACCGTAGACGTTGCAGGAATCACAGGAGCTGCAGTATAAACACTTTTGAACTATTCTAGCTCCAGATTTCTTTTTCTGAAGGTTTAACCCGATGGGATTTGCCTACATAGACTATTTCCCCAATGCAGTGGAAGTGGGAAATTAGAGTTTTCCTTTTCTTAGATGAGCCGCCCAAAGCATCTGGGTATAGCGCAAGAGGCCACATTAGGTTTAATTTCCTGTTGTTTTAAACAGCTCCGCCACAAAATCGTCGCAGTTGGATGTTTGCTGTCGGAGCTATAAGATAATACGCATGCCTTGTGAAGTGAAACAGGGTTTAGGAAGGGGTTAAATGAAGATTGTTTATATTCAGACCAGCATCAATGCAGGCCAATCCATCACTGGGTGGCATGATAGAAAACGGTGATTAGAACTCTGGTCAGACAAGGCCAAACAGATACGCCAGGAACCTTTGGGGAGTACGCAGGAACAGGTGAACGGACCAGTGCTGAGTAGACATTGACGGATGTATACGCATGATAATCAGGCAAGCCAGCGAACTAGTTAGAGCAGTGGACCACACGGAGATGCACTCTGAACAGAAAGGGAGAACAGGTGTCAGTAGCCTCGAGAGAAACTACGTACGGACGATCGCAAACGACCACCTGGGGACGATAAGATGGAACGGGATGAAGGGTGACAGGCGGTGATTGATGATCCACGCGAGAAAGAGAGAGGAAGCGGGTGGGGAAATCAGGAGAGCGAGGGAGAGAAAGAGAGACAGTAAGTGCCCAGCGGCCTGAGAAGGCAGATGACAAAAACTGATGCTGATTCGCAAGAAGAAATATAGTATACCTGGTTTTGCTTTGCTAGAAGAGATATTAAGGAACTTATCGTGCCATACAAAAAGCCATCAAAAAGATACTGAAGTGTTCCTACTGTTGTCTAAATGGAATATATTCGTGCTGCTCAAATTGACATGAGTTTGTTTAATAAACAAACTTGGTACCACTCGATTGTTTCATCATTAGCAGTGTTGTTAAACACAATCAAAAGACTTACCAACTCTATATATTCTATGTTCAGAATAAGGCACATCTGAATGAACTTAGGAGATGTGAAAGATACAACTGTGTCGCACTTATAGGTATTTCTTGCGGACTAAGAGCTTGACCACAGGAGTTTTTTTGACTTAACAGCATTTTGAGGCAATTCTTTATCGGGTTAGTTGCGTATCCTTTACAGGACGTTGCAGAACCAAACCCAACAGCCCCTGGCTGTTGTGCCTGGCTATTGTGTGGTTTTTCTAGACAAATTTACGTCCAGTAGTTTGCCATTGCTTTCTGGATGGTCAGCTTTCTTAATACCTCTTTTGAAACCAACGCAAGGTGCATGGCCCGCAGCTGGGATCGAACCCGGCATCCCGGCATTAATGAGCGTTCGCATCGACTTAGCCACAGAGCCGACATTCTTTATCAAGGAGTAGTAAATAAACACAAACTGTAAACCAATAATTCAAGCGACAACTTAAGCTCAACACGAAACAAGAAAAAAGTATTACGTTTGTATTCAATAAGTGAAGTATTTACTTGTGAATCGTGCGACCTTGATTGGCACCTTTCCGTCTTTCCAGACGATAGTGTTATATTGCGCTCTGAGGAGGCGTGAGACTCACAGCCCATGGCGATGGCGAGTGTGACTAGCAAGATCAGCCCGTGTCAAGAAAAGTCTTCCACAATGATAGCATGGGATTTTAGGACCATTGTTGTCAACATTTGTGTTTAATCCTTTTCTTTTCAGACGCTCAGCTCTCATCCTTTCTGCAATTATTTCTTCCTTCACCCTCATTCCCTTCCTGATATGCACTTTCCACACAACACGGTCCATGGCATTCTTTTCCCATAAGTCCACCTCAATACCTGTATCATTTATGTGCCTCTTAAACATATCTTTTTTCCTTAGTAGAGGTCGGCCTGGACATCTTTTTCCTGTCTTTAATTCACTTTAAAGGAAGTCCTTAGGGACTCTGCCATCCTCCATTCTCCAGGTGTGACCCAGCCACCTGAGCCTTCGTAGACTGAGCATGGAAAAAATTTTTGTAGTACCTGCTCTTTCTGTTACCTCAGTGTTTGTGATTTTGTACTGCCACTTAATGCCAAGTATTTGCATGTGACAGCTATTTAGCCGTCTGTCCTGGTGCAAATAACCTGACCAAGTTTCACTGCCATGAATCAGAGTGCTGAAAACACAAGCCTGATAGACAAGGGTTTTTGTTTTAATTGTGAGCTTTATGTTCTCCCAAATGCTCTTTGTCAATCTGCTCAATGTTATTGCTGCCTTGCCTTTCCCGATGTTGATTTCTTGGTCCAGCGATAGTTTACTATTCACAGTGGAACCCAGATAGGTAAAATGGTCTACTGTCTCAAGCTCTTCAACGTCAACCTTATTCATCTATTATCTGCAAAAAGTATTCTGGCATCATCTCGATCATTTTGTATACTGTGGTTTTGAGGGGAAGTATAATTTCCGGAAAAGCGCCTGTTTGTGTGCTTCGCAATTAGAGATTCCAAGAGACTTTGTAATTCCCTCTGTATTTGTTTTTTTAAACAAACAGGGAGAATTAATTATATTTTCTATTTTTTTTCCACTCTCTCCATCACGCCCTGACATTGACCTCGTTCAAGATTTTGTTTGTAACGACTATCTTCCACATTTATGTTTACACCCTAATCATAATTGATGAATTAATATTACTGACAACTTAGACGCAGTCCTTACGCAATAAAAGTAAAATCAAACGAGTCTTTAGTTATTTATTCCTGCAACGTATGCGTGGCATGACTCAAGAGAAATATATGGAAATAATCAGCCTCGTAAAAATTATACGTTTGAATTGATTGATCAATCGTTCAGTGTTAACCCCCATCCCCCCTCTCCTCCCGCTTTCTCACCTAACGGAAAAAATAGGGTGGGGTGGGAGAGTGCGGAGGAGCAGGTTAGTGGTAGTGCCTCTACCTTAAAGTTTACATGATTAAATTTTCAACAACAAAAAAAAACAAAAAAAAAAAAAAATTCTAACTCTGCATGGCAGACCATCAGGACAGTTTCCCAGATATGCGGCTCGGTCTCACTAACTGCCGCTGGGTTGATAAAATATAGGTCTAGCCCTATATGCCTAATACGTCTAAAGGTATGGAATGAGGTCCTTACCTACTTACTCTTCAATGTCCAAAAAAGTTATGATCAGAGCACTTGTAAACGGCCTTCCTAGGTTAACCGCAGGGAGACCTATAAAGATGCAGAGGTTAACCCAACTCTCTCTGTCTCCTAGAAACAAGTTATAAAGCAACTCTTGTCAGAGTACAACTCTGTCCTGACAGAGAAGCCAAGACACACTTCATTAATGGAGTATAGTATGACATTGGTTCCTGATGAGCCTTTTCGTCAACGCCCTGTTCAAATCCCTCTTTCTAAAGAGGAATGGAGTAAACCTTCAGACCGTCCGGAGGATCAGAAGGTGGAGAATTTGAAATTCACACCAGGGTTCCTACCTGTGTTTGTTGGAGCACATAGTGACGAGGAGAGGATAGTCCTTCCGAACCTCGCGAAGGATCAGACGGGAGGGATCATATCCCAGATTTCTCGGCGACCTTCCTGTGTGACTAGTGATTAGGAGGCACACCGGTACATTGCCTGAAGATTACAGGAGTACCAGGATGGTGTGTGGGCTTATTCGTCCAGCCCGATCAGGGAGTTCGGTCAGAACCTACATCTTTGCATGTATCTGAACAGAAGTCAGGGGTACATGGATGGAATCGTCAGAACCTTAGGTCCACAGGGACATCTACTGATTTTTTGTGAGATTCCTTTTTGATCTAGTGTTATAAA